AATAATAATAATAATAATGAAATCGCGTAAAACAAATATTGCAAATTAACAAGTCATAATGAAAATGATCATAATTTAAAAGTACTAAATCATGCTAAAATTAAGTTTAATAAGTATTAGTTACATGACTAAATATTAAAAGAAGTTAAAATTAGATTATGTATTTGAATAAACCAATGTAAAACCATAGAACAAATATTCAATATTATTGTCATTCTTAGTGTTGAATTGATTTTCTTTTTGCATTAGTATTAATTTGATTTTGATTTAAGCTTTATTATAATTATCAACATCTGTGGACATAATCTTTATTGGGTCATTCATAATTCTAAGTTTCACTCTTGAAATAATAATATATTAAAAGATAAAAACTATGAAAAAGTATAAGAAATATTTTAAAATTATATCAAAGTAAATATTTTTATGTATAAAATAAAATTTTAAAATTATACATATAATGTCGGGTTGGTTTGGTCTCGGGTTTGGTTTTTTTTAGTTAAAACCAAACCAACCCAAATATAGTCGGGTTTTTTTTTCAAAACCAAACCACTAGTCGGATTTTTTTTCCTGGTTGACTCAATTTACGGTTTGGTTCGATTTTGTACACCCCTACTTCAACTTATACGGCGATAGATGTAGTATATTATTCTTTGATTTAATTTATTTTTGTAAAAAAAAATAGAAGAAGACTGTGTTGGAATTCAAGAGAATACATTAATATTTATTTTCTATAACTTTCAATACTTTCTCTTTGTATGCAATTACAGATGCAAATCTTTGTTAAAACCCTCATTGGAAAGACCATTACTCTCGATGTCATGAGTTCCAACACCATTGACAATGTTAAAGCAAAGATTCAAGACAAAGAAAGAATTCCCTCGGATCAACAAAGATTAGTATTTGCTGGAAAACAATTTAAGGATGATCATACACTTGCTGATTACAATATTCAAAAGGAGTCCACCATTCATCTCGTCTTGAGTCTTTGTGGAGGTTATAGGGAAGATGAAGTTTATCCTATCATTGTTAGGACATATAAGGGGGAGAAGTTTACCTTAGAAGTCAGGACTAGCTTTACAATTGAAAATGTGATAAAAACGGTCCAAGAAAAAGGAGATTATAAAGATAGGCTACATATGTTATTAGATGGTCAACATCTAGAATATGAGAAAAGTCTTTCTAATTATCATATCCGAAAAAATTGGACACTACATCTTATACGCCGATAGAAAGTAAAATTATAGATCCTTGTTAGGACCTTGATTGTGAAGACTATTTGTTTTGGAGAATTCTTAAACTATTAATAATGTAACACAAATATTAAGAATATATATAATATTGTGTACACTCCTCTATCAATTGGCTTTAATCTCATTCATCAAAGAATAAATGTGCAAAAGACTTAAGTATTTTAAAGTTAATGTTTAATCATGTCCAGGGTTTACTTGGGCTAAAATAGACTGAATCAATATGAGCTAAGTTATGAATCATAACTTAATCCGTTCAATGTAACTTATTTTCTTAACAAAATACACCCAAACAAGTCTTCCTAAATATTTCATATTAAACAAATTTAATAAATCTGTTTACATGCATAGCTACAAATTCAAAAAATGTAAATTTTAGTTAAGGCGGAATAACTTGGGAGCCTCCTACTCACCATTTTGCCAACTAAACCCTTAAACCCATTGAAACATGACATTTTAAGCCCTTATATGGATGACTCATTGGTGCATGTAATACAACTCAATACACATTAATTTTCACGTCATTAAAAAATGCCACATAGAAAATTATATGTTAAAAGTCTAAAAACCCCTATTCCGCTTCAACTTTTTGTTGAAATAAGAAAGGATCTTGTTTAATTTAACTTTTTTCTTTCCTTTGCATCTATGAATGAATATGAAGGATCCGGTTAGTGGTTAACTTATGAATCCTCTATTTTCATGTGTATTTTTGGTGGTAAAACTATGATTGAAAGAGCTTGCTACTAGATAACTGAGTGAAACTTTCATTTGATTAAAGCTTCATAGTTTGATTGCAACTCAATTTGCTTTTTAAATATTTTTTTCATGATTTTTATTAATTCTATATTCTTATTCACTGTTTTTAGATCTGGATCTGTATTAGTTAGTTTTAAGGGAGTGTAAAAATCTTTACCTTTTGTTTAGTGTAATGGGTATTAATGAAATCACCCAATCGCCTCCAATTCTTGTGTATGTTAGATTTTAGAATTTAACAATTTTGTAGTAATTATCGTGTGATCTTTAATTTTGGAGAGTTTTTCTTTTTCTTAGTGTTTGATGAAATTGAAAAAAAATCAATTCTTTTCTGGATGTTTAGTTAGATCGGAGATTTTTTATTTTTTTAGGGTGTTTAATGAAATTAGAAAATGTTGAAATTATTTTTTGTGTGTTTAATGAAAATGGAGAATGATAAATTTTTGTTTAGCTGTTTGATGAAATTGCAAAAAAATCATTTTTCTTTTCTTTTCTTGGTGTTTGATGAAATTGAAGATATATATATATAAAATCATTTCTATCCCATGTTTTCCTATACTATAGTCTTCTAGACTATTTAGGATCCCATTTAAGAGTTCTCATGGGGTATGTCCAGTGATGGTGGGTTATGTAGAACTGTGGTTTTGATAATAATGTGACATAATCCTCCATAATTCTATGGCACGTATAAGAACATATATGTTGGTTAGCAATCCAATATTTACTTCTCCCTTTAGTTCGCATTGCTTTGGTATTAATCTCCTTAGGTCTTGTATCTCAGGCCACCCGTATGAGAATTTTCCTATTATTGCATATTGTAAATCTTCATTTAAAATTATCTAATCGATTTCCTCCTCTTCTAATCCTTTATTTGATCCGGAGGAAGAAACCTCAATAGTCATTGCATGGATCTCTTTCCCATCACTTCCTCCAAACTTTTTTGGTAAAGAAGCAATTTTCTCGTTAGCTGCAGCAGTGGGGAAACCTTTACAAGTGGACCTGGCAACAAAGAATAAAACAAGACCAAGTTGTGCTAGAGTTAAAGTGAAGGTTGATTTACTGGGAGAATTTCCAAGGAGAATTAATATTGGAATGAGAAAGAAGACAGGAGAGATCAAGGAGAAGTGGATTACCATCAAATATGATCACGTACCAAAATACTGCAAAAATTGTAAACTACAGGGACACAATGAAACTGAATGTTTTCTCCTTCATCTAGAATTATACCCAAAGGAAGAGGAAGAGGAGGAGAAATACAAGAACAATCCAAAAGAAGATATCAATACAAGAAGGGTGATGAACAATCAAAGGGTAGGGGGTGATAGTGCCAACAAAGGAAAGGGGCAGAATCAAGAGGGTGAATTCCAGGAACAAAAGAAGAAAAGTTATCCGAAAAGAGGTAGACAACACCAAAAAGGAAGAATAGAGCAGGTCTGGAACCCAAGACATGTACAAAATAATGACAGATTGGTAAAAGTAGATAACAAATTTGGTGCACTAGATGACAACCAGGAAGATGGTGTAGGAGAAGGAGATATAATGAATAATAAGCAGAAGTTAGGGGGAGATATTGGTGGAAATAAGGCAACCAATGAAGAACAATCTTTTAATGTCAAGCAGAAAGAAGATAATTATAATAATGAGCATAGCAGGTCACAAAGGCTAGAAGCAGGCACAAACATAGAACAATGTATGCAAAAGGAGAATAACATAACAGGCAACCAAAAGTATGGGGTAAGAACTACAGGTAGCAACAATTCTAAAACAAAAGAAGGAGAAATAAATAGAGCACAAACCAGTCACATTCATGTCACAAGCAGAGAAGACAAAGAACATGATTCATCAGGAAGTACATATAGTTGCACTGGGGGGGACGAAGAGTCATATAAGGACAAAGAGAATGCAAGATTGGAACAAGAAGAGAATAAAGGGGTGATCACTCCACAAAAAGCACCAAAGATTCATCAGATGTCTCAATTAGAGATAGACAAAAAGTTGCAAGAAGAAGAGGATGAAAGTATGAAAGATATTATAGAAGACATAAGTAGAAAAAGTGATTTGTCCATTGAGCAGACAGGACAACTAAAAGGCAAAAACAAAAAAAGAGTAATTCAGTAAGCAATGCTTTCATATGTAAACATAAGAAATAGGAAGGGTCCCACCTCAATCTCTCAATGATTGACAAAATACTATTCTGGAACATTAGGTCTGTCAAGACTCAAAATTCATTTGAGAGATTAATAAAGCTGAACATGAGACATCATTACACTTACATAACACTACTAGAACCTTTTCAAAGCCCCAATGAACTGGAAAATTACAAGAGGAGATTGGGTATGCATAATGCTAATGTGAATCTATTAGCAAAGATATGGAGTTTTTGGAATGAAAATTGGGAAGAAGAAGACTATAAAGATATTGTACAACAACTAACAATTGGTTACAAACTGAGGGGTATAAGGGAAAGATTCAAAGTGACTGCTATATATGCTAGATGTAGTGCCATAGAAAGACTAGAACTTTGGGAGGACCTGTAGGATATTGCATGCAACAATAACAATCCCTGGATTGTTGGAAAAGATTTCAACTCCATTTTGGATGAATCTGAGAAATTGGAGGGCCTCCCAGTGACACAGAACGAAATCACAGACTTTGCACATTGTATTAGTACATGTGCATTGACCGAAGTAAAGTTCATAGGCAGCAGCTATACTTAGTGGAATGGTAGAATACATGAGGATAATATTTTCAAAAGGCTAGATAGAGTCTTTGGTAACAATGATTTCATGAAGCTACTACCAGACAGTGAAGTGCAACATCTAATTAGATAAGGATCAGATCATGCACCTTTACATCTGACTTGTTCCACTAGTCAAGAAATAAGAATCAAACCTTTTAGATTCTTAAACTTCTGGACTAAACATCAAAAGTTTATGGACCATGTGGAGCATAGTTGGGGGGAAGAAGTCATAGGCTCACCTTTTACCATAGTGCAAACTAAGATGAAAAGATTGAAGTCAGATCTAGCTAAATGGAGTAAAGAAACTTTTGGAAATATTTTTCAAAAGATTGCCACACTAGAAAATGTGATCAAAATGAAGGAAATCCAAATAGAAGTATCCCCATCAGAGGCAAATAGGTCCAATCTGAATAAAGTCAATGCAGAGTTGAAAAGATATTTGAAGATTGAGGAGGAGTACTGGAAACAAAAAGCTAGGATGAGATGGTTTAAAGATAGGGAGAGACACCAAATTCTTTCATTCATATGTCAAAGGGAGAAGGAAAAAACTAATTATTTCAGAGATAACAACCATGCAAGGTGACAAGATTACAACCACTCAGAATATTGGAGAGGAAGCTGTGGTTGTCTTTCAAGAACAGTTCAAAGAAAATCAGGAGATAAAAGATTATTCTTTGCTACAAAATATTCCTACTTTGATCAAGGCAGAACAGAATGAGGAAATAGAGAGGCAACCTACAAAAGAAGAAGTTAAAAAAGTGGTATTTTCTCTTAATGGAGATAGTTCAAGTAGACCAGATGGATTTTCAGGACAATTCTTCCAATGCTGCTGGAGTATAATTGGGAAAGACATCACCTACATGGTCAGAGCATTTTTCTGTGGTCAAGAACTATCAAGGTATTACACACACCAACCTAGTACTAATCCCTAAAAAGGAAAGAATAGGAACTTTTGATGATTTGAGACCTATAAGCTTAAGCACTTTTGCCAACAAAATCATATCCAAAGTGGTCCAGGAGAAGATGGGATCAGTTCTACCAGAGATCATTTCTACAAATCAAACAGGTTTTGTAAGGGGGAGGAGCATCACTGAGAATGTTTTATTAGCTCAGGAAATAATCAGGGATATTCACAGAAGGAATAAGCTCCACAATGTTGTGGTTAAATTAGACATAGCAAAGACATATGATAGAGTTTCCTGGAAGTATCTTCTCAAGGTCTTAAGGTGTTTTATTTTTTATGAAAGAATAATAGATATGGTGCTCAGGTTAATCAACAATAACTGGTATCCAGTGCTAGTGAATGGACAATCTTTTGGTTTTTTCCAGTCCTTTAGAGGACTCAAACAAGGTGACCCATTATCATCTACACTGTTCATAATTGCAGCAGAAGTTTTATCAAGAAGTTTGAATAAATTATTTGAGGATCAGGAGTTCAAGGGTTATGTAATGCCTAAATGGAGCCCTAAAATAAATCACATGTCATATGCAGATGACACTATTCTATTATGTTCTGTACAGCC